AATATCAGTAATTTGAGTTCATAATTCATACAAAGCTATAGAATTTGTATTTTGACATCACAGATGTTTGATTTGAACCAGTGCTGCAGTCAACATGACCTGTGACACACAGAAATTGTTGTTTAGGTGTTTTTTTTAATATTTACTTTTAAATTAAGAAATTAAATAGTTTATAATACTAAAATTTGAATTATAATCTACAGTTTGATACCAGACTTTATAACATAAATACATAAAATAGTAGTTCAATAAAATTTTGAATGCGAGTCAGCAAATGCCATGACATTGCCTTTCACCGGTGACATGTGTGGAAAGGGTTAAGACATAAGTGATTTTGTCACCACTTCATCTTTGTTTATTAGTAGGCAGTTTAGACTAAGTTATATCAAATTTGATGAATGCAGACTGGGGAGATTGGATGAATTGGCAAAGATATTAATGCTATTATATATATGTGTATATATTTCCTTGTTTCATTCTAAGTTAGGATCTGACACAAATTGTAGAATATTCCACTTGTATAAGTTTTTTTTTCTGCTTACTATGTTTTGTTGGTTGAGGTGTGCATATGTCTTTCCTGTAACAAGAAGAAATTTTAATTTTTCTTTTGTAAAAGTTCTGTGTCCTCTCTTTTTTTGGATACAGGTTTTCACTGTATTCTTAATATCTTTATTCTTGTTTCAACTGTCTTGTTTTGTGACTTAAGTACATACATATCAGAAAATTGTACAACATTGGTTTTCATGCTAGCCATGATATCTTCTGTGGTTTTCAAAACTACATCTTATTTTAGTCTTTTCCTTGAGTTTACTGTTTACTACACATGGGTACTTCAGGGTCCTTAACCCTACGAATTCAGGCTTGGTGGGATCTGCCAAGCTCGTAACAAAGAAAGTATCCATGAGAGTAATTATACTATAATTTTTGATAATGTATGCATATCTTTACAAAATTTTGCAGATTATTAGTAAATGTTACAAAATATCAGGCTTTTGATTAAGTATTAAGATTTTTTTTATTAAAGATTTGCTAGAGAATTTTTTCTTTCACGAAATGTAATTTTGACTTTAAGATTAAAAATAATTTTCTTTATCTGAAAATTGTCAAGTTTCATTTGTATAATCTCTATATCCTTCTAGATAATCTTTAAACTTTTTTTTAAAATAAAAATTTATATTTAATCTGTTATTTTATCATTGTTCATATGGTGTGTAGGCCCGGCATGGCCAGGTGGTTAGGGCACTCGACTTGTAATCTGCGGGTCGTGGGTTCGAATCCCCGTCACACCAAACATGCTCGCCCTTTCAGCTGTCGGGGCATTATAATGTGATGGTAAATTCCACTATTCGTTGGTAAAAGAGTAGCCCAAGAGTTGGCGGTGGGTGGTGATGACTAGCTGCCTTCCCTTTAGTCTTACACTGCTAAATTAGGGACGGCTAGTGCAGATAGCCCTCGTGTAGCTTTGCATGAAATTAAAAAAAAACAAAACCAAACCTATATGGTGTTGGTCGATTTAACTGACCTTGTAACCATCATAAAAGTTAAGAAATAAATCTAAATTACCTTCTTTTTGTTCTAGAATATGTGCAAATTGTAATAGGAAACCATAAACGTTTATTATAAATAGCCTAAATCTTATAGCAGTATACATCTTTTTATATTTATTAATTTTTGTTTTATTGACCTTTGAATTGTGTCTGACTAAAATATCCTGACACAAGTTGAAAATCCTGCAACTCGTGTTACATATTGAATAGCATAATGCACAAGCTGCTGGAGCATATACTCCATGAAGATTTTTATTATTTTTCTTTCATTATGTTACCTAATAAGTTTCTATTTTTTATATTTTATTTCCTTTTTTTTAAAGAAATCAGATAAAAAAACAACAACTCATAATTAAATATCAAACATTTTTATTTTCAGTAAAGCTTTATATTTTATCTGTTGTAGGTAAATAATCAAAGTAATGAAAATATAGGTTGCAAATGCAAAATAAAACGTGAATAATACTTATGGTCAGAATTTATACTAATCACCTTCTCATACTTATTTTCTGTAGTTATTTTATTGCTAGCAGATGGCTTAGAAACTAGAAGAAACAAAATAAATAGTACTGTCTGTCATTTTCAGTATGGACAACAAAGTTCCAAAGTAAATCTCTTTAGAGTTTCTTCTAATCTTTTTCCACCTATTTCCTTTGTTTATTCTACTGTTAGCAGCTGAAATAGAAACCTGCTGAATATAAAACAATAAATCACCATTCCTGTTTAAGTGTTACTGTACTTTTAGTACTTTGACTCTGTCAATATCAAATAAGTTTTTGTGGTGCAATTTCCCAGAACTCTCTCTGCTCCGAAAACAGAGTGGGGTATGATTTATTGACTTGTTAACAGTATAATGGTTGCAATGAGAATTGTCTAAAGTATTATAAAATGTTTATGTTATGGCTTTGTAGAAAGTTCAGGCCAATCCAATAAATTTGGTAGATATTTGAATGTTGGTCAATAAGCACATGTTTCATACAGAGTCTATTCAAATCTTGGTTCTGAAAACAGTGGGGTAGGCTTTATTGGCTTGTTTACACAGTACAGTAGTTGCAGAAAGAATTGTCTAAAGTATTATGTAAAAGTGAGGGAAATATTTATGATATGGCCTTGTACAAAGTTCAATCAGATCTAACAAAACTTGGATGGTCAGGATTTAGTGGTGGCATAGGTGTTGAAAGTGCTTATGAATATCCTGTTTCCTATTTTGCCATACTTACAATGAACCAGTAAATGTGTAGTTTCCAATATTTTATAGGGTACAGTGAGGTTTTGGTTACCATACATTACATATGTGGATATATATATATATATATATATATATATATATATATATATATA